ACTGGGAACCGGATCCTGCGACCATTGCAAGTACCGCCGCTGCTGCGAAGAAAGACACTAAGAGCGCCATGAACCCTCCGCGGGTACCTCTGGTCCAACGCTCTATGAATGGTCTGCTCAACACATTGAACGGCCCACAGAAGTCAACAGGAGGAACTCCAACTAAGCCTGCAAAAGCTAAGCGATTGGTGCCCACCGAGCAACTTGAAGCTTTCAAGGCCGAAATTGAGGGCAAAGATCTGACCAAGATTGGCATGATTGAGGCGCTGAAAAAGGTATTCCCAAAGCTGCCTAAGGACGCCATCAGCAACACCTTGAGCGTAGTTGCCGCAAGGGTAGGACCTACCGAGAAAGAGAAGCGATGGGTGCTTGTCAACTCCTGAAAGTCTCAATGCTCAACGTTGCGTTCAGCTGGATGTTTCCCTTTTTGCTCTTAATGTACATCAACTTTTCATACATGTCGGTAAAACCCGACGCCAACTACCTGTAGAATATGTGGGATAGTCTTTTAGCATAGCGGGTGAAGGAGTACGGGGTCAAGGCTGAGGTTCAAGGTGCTCCAAGTCATCATCAAGCGATATTTTAGCTTTCAAAGTGAGTCCATATTTACACGCTGTGTAGGAGGTGGAGAATCGAGCTTATTCAGGAGCTATAGGAAGTCGTCAAATTCACGCAATGAAGAACGTGTTCACGCTGCAGTGGACCTCATATACTATATGGCTTGCACCAAGCAGTGCAGCGATTGAGACGAATGCGTGAAGTCACTGCGTGTTCCACATGGCGTCGGCATCGTAGAAGTGCAAGCGCTTTGTTACACCCCTTCGTCCCTAGCAAGGCAGCCCTGACACACACTACGCAGCCGTCAAAAGGTCATGCTATCGCGCGAGCATGTTTTGCAGAGCAATCAGGCTTTCTGCTCCTTCTGGATCTAAAAACGAGTCAAAATTAATGCACCGTCTTCCAAGTATACTTTATGCTGGCACGCATCCACTTTGTAGACAAACTTTAGCCCGGGAGCAACAACGAGAACGTCGTGCGGGGTTGCGGGATTAAGATTGTACGGCTATTTCCGAGGGTTTCCTTTGAATGCATCAGAATCTCACCGAGCGGGTACGCAATCTACCTGCCTCTGAGATTGCAGACTGTGGTGAGCGGAAGGTTAAGAATAGCGACACTGGTGTCAGATCCACACCTGCAGTCGGGTCCGTGCAGCGAGCGCTTGGGAATGTCGCGAGACAACCCTACCCAATCAGCCTGGTCTCATAAACGCCCGCTATCTTGGTGCAACTGCCTACAATAACGATCCAATCATCAGTGTCTCTGCGACGGCAAAGCTTACCATCGGAGAGGGATCATCTTTCTTCCTCGCGCATGTTTCTATTCAAAGCGCCCATGGGGGCACCTCCCCAGGTCGTGGTACTTCCACAACGGCATCAGCAGGCGCTCTCGGCAGCGGTTCAGTCCCATGCGGCTCTAGATGGCGCCCAGGGATGCACTCATGCGCGTCCAGCAGAAGCAGGTGGATATTCCCGCATGCAAGAATAGCTTGGCCCTTGCCTAACTGGCTGACTGTCCGCATGCTCATCTTAGTGTATCAAGGTACAGACGATGGAGGCCTACAAAGACATCCTACAGCCTCTGGCACCTCCGCAACTCGAGTTTGAGACGTTTCGTCATCATCGTCGTTCACCTTGCCTGTTGGTGTTGTAAGCGTTGTCCAACACCTTGTTACCTGCTTTCAGCTTGCTGGACTCAAGCGTCTCTCATCTTCCATCATGGCGTCTTTCGTTCTATGGCTTTCCGCAACTTTGCTGTTCACTCAGTCTGCAATTGCTTCAAACTGCACCAAGAAACCAATATACGTCGACATCCACAAGCGGGCCGTACACGACTCATCAGAATTTCAATATGGATCCTTCATCGGACTAGGAACGCCAGCACAGAACCAGAGTCTTTGGCCATCACTACAACAGAACCACATCTCTTTCGCGTCGAGTAACTACTGCAAGAACACAACTCTTGACAAGTGTGCCACGAGTACAGGGGGCTTCTATAACGACCGCGACTCCACTAGGTATGCTTGACTGTCGATGTGATACTTTAACTTGTTAGCTGACATGTAGAATAGTTTTGTGAAAGACGACAACTTCCAAACCTTGGACAATGAACAAGAGGGTTTTACGGGATTCTTCGGTCGAGAGACCTTACGACTATACACACATTACTTTGAGACGGACGGTGCATCACAAACATTGATAGAGAACAGTACGATCGAAGTCGCCGAGTCGGGGTCAATCACACCTGCACGAGTGGGTATGGGGTTGTCTTCCACTCTCCTTCGGGACCTGGCTGCACAAGACATCATTGCTGGGAAAACGTACTCGCTCTACATCGGACAGGGATTCAAGCGTGCCGGAGGCGCAGTTAACGGTAGCAATGTCTTTGGGGGATACGACTCAGGTCGCTTCACGGGAGACACACACAAATACGCCATGAAAATCGACAATCCGAACCCGATGAGCGTCCGCATCAAGGACATCGTCATCACTAACTCTGAAGATAACGCAAACGTATCACTGTTCGATAACACGGTTTTCACCGACATGAAAACACGCGCAGAGGACTTCGAGGCCCAGATTACGACTGAACAGTTCCCGTTCTCCCTACCGTATCAGATTACCCAAAACTTCATCAAACGACTGGGCGCCGAAAAGGATAACACATGGGGCGATAATTCTCTGAAGTTGAAGAATGCCTTCAACGGCACGTTCTCGATAGTGCTAGAAGATGGCTTTACAGTCACGCTGCCCTCTGAAGTCCTCATGAACGCTTCCAATATCACGCCCATCCAAGACCGAGAAGAGTCAGCCGACACACCATTCTACCTCGGGACCGCTTTCTTTGGCCAAGTCTACTTGATGGCGGATTACGAGACCAATAACTTCTTCCTCGCTGAAGCCATTCAAAAGAACAACATGGTCATGCCTGTTACCTTCTGCCCGAAATCCACGCCCGCAGCCTACGAACGCCCCAAGCAATCCGCATGGGAGAGCCAAGGTCTCATTGGCGCGGTGATTGGTGGTGTAATAGGCGGTATTGGAATTATCTGCGCAAGCTACTGCATTTGGATCACTTGGATGCGCAAGAAGGATGAGCGCAACTTGAAGAGGGAGTTGAAACGAAACTCGCAGAGGAAGATGGAGCAGATGGACATTGAGGAGGCACAGCCCAAGTTTGACCCGCCACCACGGTCAGTGAACGCGGCAAAAGCTATGTTTTGGAGGAAGAACAAGCCGGGTCTAACGTTTTGAGCGGGTCGCGAGAGTTCTTTTCTTCTTGGAGGTGTCCGTCTTTATACCCTGGGCTAGCAGTGTGCGGCTCGTTTGATTCGGATAGCATCTTGCAATCTTCACGCTATTTTGTGGTCATACCCACACGGAATTTGCTATGATCTGTGATGTTTGACAACGAGTCTATTGCCCGTAGCGACAGTTTCGCTATGACGTTAATCATCTGAGATTTCCTAAAGCCATCCGCTTGAATCGCGGATCGTGACAGTCACCGTTCTTACCCAATTCCTCGTCTACGTACGTAATCTGTGTCTTCATCTAATAGTCTGTGTAAAAGTGTCGATGGTGTTGCCTTCCAGCAGATCACGAGAAATAAAAAGTCTCAATCGACTCGTCAAGACGGGCAATTCGTACTAGGTGTGATGTCAATGTGACCGTAACCTGAGAGACAATAGGTGATGGCGAAGACGTATTTTGATTAGAAAATCGCGATGTTCGCCATGTCAAGTTCTTGTTTACAATATGGTACAAAGTCTGGCAGTGGTTTTGTACAGAATCGAATTGCGTCCAGGTCATGATTCGGGCGAGAAGCTGAAGCCAAGCGGTGCGAGTATCTTTTCTTGCACAACCTTGTTGGCCACTTCGCCGCCACGCTCGAGAGCGACCGCTCCGACGATGGCGTATAGAGAGGTCATAAGGACGGTTTCAAAACCAGAGCCTTGGAGGTTGTCCGCCTGTAATTCGTCAGCCTGTGGACTAGGGTGTTGTAAAGGTTCGAGCATACCCTCTTGGGTGTCCACCGTGTGACCTTGTCCAGACGATATCGCTCTGCTATCGGTGCTAGCCGTGTCTTGCTCAAGACCAGACTCTCGGCCTCGTCAGTCAAGCCTTGCAGCCCATTCAAGGCGGGGTGTAGGTATGGTTTGCGTCCAAACTCGTCGCTAATTGGTACACCAGTGGGATCTCTCGGCCATTGATTCTCCTGCGGCGAGTTTATGAGCGCCTGTGTTGTTTGTAGTTCGACTATCCTCCGTCCTGCCCTTTGTATTAGCCTCCCATCTGCCCGCCTTTGCAATGTGCACACATACCCAAGTATGCTAGTCGGTCATTGAATCCTCTCCTTCCGTGGTCGAAGCTCTTGTGTGTGACGGCTAACCACTTTACGTCTTCTCCCAGTATTTTGTCTCCTCCAGGGCCCAACATGCGTATATACGCATCGTCCAGCTTTTTCGGGTCCTCATTGACCTGGTAAACGCCCCCTCTGGCTTTCGGCCGTATCCTGTGAGGCGCCATCATTCGCGGAGGTGTCTGTTTCCATCGCGGCCTGTCGACAGCTGGCGTAGCTTCTGCGTCATATTCCGTGGACCTCGATGGGGCGGTGCTCGAAAATGCGCATGCGGAGGACCGCACGAAGGACGTTCTGGATATTTGCGCGGGCCGGAGTGATGATGAAGCGGTCGAGACGAGTGATCGGAGCGGTCGTTTGGAAGTCATTTTGGCGCTCCCAAGTGGTGAGCGAGGTGTGAGAGGCTTGATTGGCGGCGGGCGGGCGTGATGCTGCTGGCGGAGGTCAGTTCGGATCATCGAAAAGTTGCGGCACGCGGATCGCGCCTTACCGCAACGACGCTAGCACCAGTCGCGCCTGCCGTTCCCCATCGTGCGCACCCCGATACGCGACGCTTCCCCTTGCTGCGCTTCTCTTGGGTCATCATGACGAGCGCTGGGGTTTCCAGGCCGCTGAAAGAGTTACTCGCCGAACAACTGCCCAAAGACGTGCCCATCACCTTCTACCACTACTCAACACCGCCCTCCAAGTCCTCCGCCCTCTTCTCCGCGCCGCCCCATGGCAAGTCCGAACGAACATACTGCGAATCGCAGACCTTGGCAGCGTCGATAGTTCCAAAAGATGGAGCAGCCTCGGAACTGCCCGAGGAGCTTCTTATATTGGCAATTGAAGTCTTGATCTACACCACGCGAAACCTCACGACCATCTTCGTCTCCAAAGCCGACTCGACAGGTTATATATCCGAACTACAATTACCGCGAGCCCAGTCTGCGTCACCTCTGAAAGCCATTTGTGGAACCTTTGTATCCTGGCTAGCACGAGAACGACAGAGGGAAGGGAAGAAGCTGGTAGTGTCTCTCTTCGCCAGGGCACAGGATCAATACCTGTTTCCGGCAAGCATCGAGAACAAGAACAAGCATGTGCTAGATGACAGAGGCTTGGTGAAGTGGTGGTGCAGAGTGCTCGATCCCATCATATGGGAGTACAAGGCTGAAGGAGAGCGGAAGCCCTTCACCGAACGGCTGGTTGACGGTTCGAAGGCGGACAGCACGTCAGTCCAATCAGAGTCCACGGCTAAAGGCTACTTGGTGATACCGGGCTTCGAGCCATACGACACGCTGCGATACATTCCTCCACCTCCCGTCTCGAATACCCCGCGACGCTGGGTGGCCACCCACCCGCTGCTACAAATCGCTCCCTATCCTGCCGCTCCACCGCGCTGCCTCGTACCACACTTTCCAGACGATCCGAAAGCCAGATTTCTTGACGAACTGGACGAAGAACTTCCCGATCGGGGTACCGATGCCATGGTAGTAGATGGAGGCACACCTTCGAGAAGCAATGGGCACTGGAAGAGCGTCAAGACACTTGACCAGTTTTGGGAATTCATGGCCTTCAGGCAAGAGTGCTCATCAGGGCGTATAGTGGGCTTCATATGGGTTGTCATAACACCACCCAAGCCTTCGATACCCGAAGAAGACGAGGACATGCCTTCGCAGCAATCAGCGTCGCAGTCGTTCTCACAGCTTGAATCGCAAGAGAACATGTCCAGTCCAAAACGGAAGAAGGCTAGTCGACGCAGGCAAGAGGCTAAAACTAGGTATGGACCAATTCCCCTGGTTCTGCCAAAGATCAAGAACAGCTCTTCAAACTTATCGACGGCATCCAACGTCTCTTCGAGCTCCGCCAAGAACCTTCCCGAGAACAGTCCATACTGGAAATGGCCCGCTTCCTCACGTGGCACCATCTGCTTTTCGCTTAAGAACTATGACCGCGCACATGAGGTCCTTTTGCAACAGAGTTTCGCAAACCGAAAGGCAGCAGCACGAAGTACGAGGAAGTGGAAAGAGGAAATTGCTGTTCTCGGGGGCATGGACGATTGGAGCTTCACAGTCAAGGGGATAAAGGAGTATGTAGCTCCATTAAAACCTTCGGATGCAACAAACGGCGTGACACCTACTATGGTCATGGGTGTGCGAAAGAAGAGGAAACCCGATACCCCATCAGAAGCGGCTGTTGGCGCAGAAAAGCCTGCAGAGTCCGCGCAAATACTAGGAGAAGGCACAGTCAGGAAGAAGGCAAAGCTAGAACCCACACCCATTACTAATGCAAGCGCTGCAAATGGGGTGAACACTTTGACAGCAGGCCTGGTGCGTAAGAAGCCGAAAACTTGAGAAAGGCTGAGCTCAATCGGTATATGGCATTTCACTTGATTCCAGGAAGGCTTCATTTGGTATAACGAAGTGTTCTGGCTGACACACGTCTTTATCTCACTCACACGAAAGTGTGTTAACGTATTAACATGTCCTTGCGGACTTCATTTCAAGCACAAGCTATATGATGTTCCGTGTCGAGAAAGTCCGCGAATTGTATAAAACTTCCTTCATCAGGTGGTTAACTTGAAAAGTGAACGAGTCCATAATCTAAAGTGAGTAATCGATTTACAGATGGCCATCTATGGCAATTGTTGTCGGATGAACTGCTTTGTCGGTGTGCAGGAAGTTTGATCGCAACAAACGATCGCGATCCATGGATGTCCCTGGCGGTGAAGTCGGACCGTTCGGATGTGCAAACGATTGTGGGACAAGAAGCTGCTTCGCTTTTAACAGCTGCAGTACGTCTGCTCTTTTGCCTGTCTTTGTGATACTGCATCTATTCAATACCCCTGAACATCGTCGAGTGGTGCTGCGTCTTGGCGGTCGTGGCTTCCTGGTTCTCCGCAACCTCCGCGCTGCGAGATTCGCCAACACCCCACCCTCATTCTAACCCTACCACATTGTCGCGCATGCTTCGCGCGCCCAACCTCGCGACGGGACAAGATGTCTCCATGTCGCGCACCATCATTGCGACCGGGTGCTTGATTTGGTGGGTGATAGTTTGGAGCGTCTGTGCCATCGGCTTCGTCCAACTATTCCGCTACTATTGGAGGAGACCCCAGCAGGCAACATGCGTAACGACGTTGGAAGAGCACGAAGTCCCCCAAGTCACCGTTATACGGCCAGTCAAAGGCCTCGATCCGCGATTGTACGAGTGCCTTGCAGCCACCCTCCGCCAGACGTATCCCAAAAACAAATTGAACACCGTGTTCTGCATTCCCGAGCGTTCCGATCCTGCCTTCCCGATCCTCGAGCACCTATGCAAAGATTTCCCGGATGCCGATGTACAGATCTTGGTCGAAGAGGAGGATCCGCTGCTACTGAAGGATAACAACGCGCTGGGGCCCAATCCGAAGATTAGGAACATGAGTCGCGCCTACAGGGAGGCCAAGGGCGACATCGTATGGGTACTTGACTGCAACGTCTGGGTCGGCAAGGGCGTTTGCGGGCGGTTGGTGGACCTGCTATGTGGATTTGGAAAGGACAAGCATGGCAACAAGAAGACAAAGTACAAGTTCGTTCACCAGACGCCTCTTACGGTAGATCTTGACTCGCAAGGTCTCTCGCTTCAGGACAGGAAGGAATTGCTCGGAGGCAAGCCTGAAGCTGTAGCTGAGTCAACTAGCATCGCGGCAAGCACGTCTTCCGATCCGCGCAATCACTCCAGCAGTACTATCAGGAAGCTGCTGCAGCGCGGCGGAGGACGTCTCGACGAAGCTTTCATGTCTTCTGCTCATGCCAAATTCTACCAAGCCATCAACACAGTCGCTGTGGCACCCTGCATTATGGGCAAGAGCACCATGTTCCGTCGCTCTCATCTCAACTACGTTACCTCATCGAACCCGAACCGCGCCCCCGGTATCGACCACTTCTCTGACAATATCTGCGAGGACCATCTCATTGGTGATGTGTTGTGGAAGCAACCTCAAGCTTTCGAGGAACGAGGCTACAAACCCGAGCCAGGAACGACAAAGGAGGCTTGGGGCAAGCATGCAATGCTCTTCGGTGACTTTTGCTTCCAGCCAATCAGCCATACGTCTGTCATGGCCTACCTGCAACGTCGCATTCGATGGTTACGAGTACGGAAGTTCACGGTGACTTTGGCGACGTTTGTGGAGCCAGGAACAGAAAGCATTCTTTGTGGACTGTATGGCGCATATGCTCTGACGACACTACCCTTCTTCCACAGCATCGGCATCAACCCAACATGGACCTCCTTCTTCCTGATCTGGCTTCTACACCTATCCGCATGGTGCCTTGTAGACTATGTCCAGTATCTGCTGCTGCACTGCGCGAAGACTGTCGAGATCGATTCCGACACCCCTGACTTCATCCTGCCTCAACGATCAGCCTCTGCGTACCACCGTACCGAGGTTCTAGAACCTCTGCTTGGCAATAAAACACCAGGTGAACCTAGTCTACTTGATGGCGCGAGGAGAAACTTCGTAGACTTCTTATTTGCGTGGCTCGGCCGCGAGATTTTCGCATTACCAGTCTGGGTCACCGCCTTCTGGGGAGGTGTAACAGTAGAGTGGCGAGGCAGGAAGTTCTGGGTGGGATTGGATATGAAGGTCCACGAGATCTTGCCGCAAGAGAAGGAAGTCAAGAATGATCAACACAAGAAACGTTAGGATCGTAGGAGGAACCATAATTGTTGTTGCATAGCGTGCGGTCCCGGTAGCATTTCAGGCGTTCAGATGAGAATACGGACATTATCAGCCGACGTTTCCGTTGTCACATCACTGGTGAAGGAGGTCAATTTTGATTCAAAAGCTAACGAGTGTTTTTAATCTTGTCGAGCAGGATCTAGCTGAACGCTTCCAACCACAGCGTCGATCTCAGCCATCACATCTGGCGTAAGCTTGTCTATAATCTTCAAGGCTGCACAGTTGTCCACCACCTGCTCTGGTCTTGATGCGCCAGTGATCACCGCGGAGACATGCGGATTCTTCAAGCACCACGCAAGCGACAACTGCGACTGGCTGACACCCAGCTTATCCGCGATTGGCTGCTCACAGTTAGCTAGATGCCATCAAGGAGGCATGGGGACTTGGTTTACCTTCAATTTCCTCGCTGCGCCGATCATACCACTCCACTCATCATTTCCATATCGGTCGCGCATTCCACTCACAAAACCATCTTTTCCTTCAGCGAACCTCGATCCTGCTGGCGGCGCATCCGGACTATCATTGTACTTTCCGCTAAGCAGCCCAAACTTGAGCGGCGAAAACGTAGTCAACCCGATCCCGAACCGCGTATAGAGGCGCTGGAACTCGCTCTCCACCTTCTTCCTCTCGAGCAGGTTGTACTGCGGCTGCTCCACTACTGGTGCGATGAGACCTAACTGCTTCGCTATCCCGCAAGCCTCGGCAATCTCGTCTGCAGACCATTCTGACGTGCCCCAGTACAAAGCCCAACCCTTCTGCTCGATGACATGGTTGAATGCGCGAACTGTTTCTTCCATGGGTGTGAGGCGATCCGGACGGTGCGCATACACTATATCGATATACTCCAGATCCATGCGTTTGAGAGATGCGCGAAGACCCTCAATGATGTGTTTGCGCGAGAGACCGTGGTTGTTGACAAGCACTTCGCCATTTGCGCCGCCCCAGTTGAGTTTTGTGGATATTACAATGTCGTTGCGGTTCCACGCAAATTTCTTGATGGCCTGGCCCATGATGATCTCGGACTGGCCTGCGGCGTAAGACTCAGCAGTGTCGAAGAATGTGATCCCATTATCGTAGGCTGTCTTCATGATGGAGAATGTAAGTTCTGATAATGACGTTAGTGGAGTGGCTGATGAGCGTATAGGCACAATGTACCATTTTCGACGTGGCCTCCAAAACTGCAATCTGATGAGTATATTCCTGAGTGTATCCATGGAAGAAGACGAGTGAACATACGTGAGCCATCCTCCTAGACCCAGCGCAGATACGTGCAAGCCTGAGTTACCTAGGCGGCGGTACTGCATGCCCGTTTTGCGAGGTTCTTCCCAAGCCATCTTGCGTTCGTATGAGCGATTTGGTGATTGAACAACAAATTGATTTCCTATTGACGCTGGAACAAAGTGATGCCTCGAGTACAACCGCCATTTCCAGTCATAAGTCCTACCAAAGCCTTCAACGATTCTGCTGACTACGCTCAAAGCGGCGAGTCCTCCATGAAGGGCGATGCCGGCGATGTGGCCTGCCGCATCGGACGGAAAACCTCAGTTGGGCAGTTGCAGCGAGTTGGGCGCTGTGCTGCCGCGGCCTTGGTATCCAGGGTTTCGGAATGACTCGTAAAATCGTGGAGATTCCCGAGGTCGTCATTGATCCCCGCAATCACGACATGCAATGGTTCTGGGTAGTTGTGGGGCGCGGCAGGGAAAGTGGATCAGGCTAGAGACGTCTTCGTTGAACAAGGCGGCTCTCTGTAGCCGACGCAGAGACGTTTACTCACCATACACGCAGTCGACGCGCGATCATTCACAACGTTGTGTAGGAGAAATAGGAAAACAATGATTCAAAGTGTATTGGAAGTATAACTGACATACTCTCCGATGACGTCTCTTTGGAAATGGTATATAATGGGTATCAGAGCTTTGGAATTCGAACTTGGAATGCAACCTCGGGTTAATCTCAACGACATGTCGCAGATACTTCGGTGCAACTAAAAGGCGAGGGGGCATTGGTTGGTAGTCGGATCGATTGAAGAGACCATGTGATGCTGCTATGCATGTTGACATTGACTGTCTGTGGATTCCACCGGCTATCGTTTCCCAACGAAATCAGAGTGTGAACCTGAAGTCTAACCGCTTGTTGCCATCTTTCTCTCGGGAAATAATGTCTGCTTGGTACAGAGCCTTCTCTTCCGAAGTCATCTGTTCCCACTGTATCTGTTTCCTTTTGTTGAGGCGGACCAAAGTCTGCCGTTGCACAAGGAAAGTAATGACACTCAGCGCGCATATAGCCACAAGAACGGAGTTTCCCTGCTTGTAGTACGGGCCATCGTACTTGCGGTAGATCTGTGAACTGATCAGAGATCCAATCTGCACAATGACATTGTACGTTGCGGCCGTAATTGCACGTTTCTTAACGTCAAAAGTGTTCTCGGAGATCCAAGAGGAGACCAATGGATGGAAATATGGGTATCCGGAGATCAGCGTGATTAGGGAAAAGCGGCCCCATTCAAGGCCACCATCGGGTAGTGTCAACAACGCAATCAGAAGCGGCATGATCCAGAACTCGCCGAATATACAATGGAAAGTACGTTCGTTGAAATAGTCGCTTGAGTATGCCAATGCCAGCATAGTGACAACCTGGAGAGCCGCAGACGGGATTGTCAACATGTTGCTGTTGAAGGTGCTGAAGCCGAGGCGTTTAAGCGTGAGAGTGAGGTATCCTTGCACCGGCGAAGCAGGGATGTAAGCGACAAGGCCGATGAAGTATAGACCCCACATGGAGGAATCTGACCAAGCCGCGCGGATGTCTTTGAACGTTGCTGGCTCTTTGAGAGCAGTAAGGCCTTTGGCTGGGTCGTCTCGGAGTATACGGTTGACCATGATGACTTCTTCCCGCTCAGTGTACCAACCTTGACGCCAAAGCACATTCTTCGTGGATGTCGGCGCGGTGGGCAGATACAAGTACGAGAGAATGGCAATGACGACCGTCAAAAGGCCTTCGAGGAGAAATAGCCAGAACCAACCTGGCTTTCCACCAACACCGCGCATCTCCAGAATCCCCGCCGCAAGCAAGGCCGAGATGACACGCGCAATGTTGAGTGTCGACCAGAAGGCTGCCAGGCGCAGAGAAAGCTCCTTGGACTTGTAGAAATAGGTCGCGAACAAGATCACACCGGGGATGAAACCACCTTCGCAAAGTCCGATGGCTGCGCGGCCCAGGTAAAAAGAAGTTCGGTCGTGCATCCACGCCTGACCCCAAGATGCAGTTCCCCAAGCAAGCATCATGGTTGGGAGGATATACTTGAAGCCATAGCGTTTGGTGAGACTGTATAAGAATACGGTCAGAGGAAGACTTCAACAAGAGAATCTGTCATACTCACAACTGAACTGGAAATTCCGCAGCCAGAAAGCATACCAACTGTATCGTTGTTCCGTTGTTGTAGTCGTCAGAAGTCAAACCGAGATCTTCCAGAAGATTGTCTGCGAGCGCATTCGATATGTTTCCACGATCGAGCTGTGATAGTCAGTATTTCTGATCAGCTAGCACAATGTATGAACTTTCCTGCAGCCCGAACATCATGAGACAGAGCCATGTCAGTAGCCGGAGGTCAGTCTTCCGCACCACACGCCGTTCTTCCTCAATTGTCCAGCTCGCCTGGGGGTCGAAGCGATGCCGGCCTTCGTACGTCTCGTGGGGTGGGACGATATCCGCAAGTTCCTCTCTACCCACGTGGGCCGATGATTTGAGCGAATTGGCATCTTCACTGATCCGTGTGGTGTGCGGGGATGCTTCTATGTCGTTGCCCATCGTCAAGGGCTGCGATTGTCGGCTACAGCACAATTGCCACGAAGGAAGGTTATTGCTGAGATGTGATATACTGGACACTGCATATTCCCTGCTATGCTTTCTTGTCTCCTATTTATTACTTTGGACATGGCATGTCGCAATTCAGGCCCGTCCCGTCGCCATCGTCGCCATCCTACCGAGGTAGTAATTGCCCCGAAGAACGAGGGGAAAGCACAATGTTGTGCATGCTGATGCATCTCCTATTGGTCTTACTGTCGACATCCGCCTTGGCGTTCACGGGGTCATGTAGGCTAGGCCCAGCACGACTAGACCCAGAGCGTACAACTAGTCCGATGACGTGCTTTACCACGCATGCGGTGTTGTCACCCTGGTCCCGGGAATGATTATATGTCCTGGACTTCCAGACATTCGGAGCTGTTAGTCTGGAGGCTATCCAAGCGTTTTGCAACACTGAATTCGAGCCGGAAGTTGCACTAACCGCGCACCACATTGCTTTCAAGATGCCTTCAGTTAAGCGGAGTCGTATGGAAGACGTTCATGAAGACGGAGATGCAAATATCATTGGTGGTCACCCAAGCGCCCGATCGAGACTGTTGGAGCCCTTAGTCTATTCCGGATCCTTGGACAGCTTCAGACACCAAGACTTGACCCCAGTCATTGGAAGAGAGTTCGAAGGTCTTCAAGTGACTGACCTGCTTCGATGGGGCGATGCTATGATCAAAGATCTGGCAATAACAGGTACGACTCTCTGTTTGCAGCTTGATGTAGCTCATGACTGACTTATAGTTCCAGTCTCACAACGTGGCGTTGTCTTTCTGCGGGATCAGGATGTTACGCCAAACCAGATGAAAGACTTGATGCTGCGGATCACCGAATTATCTGGCTGTGTATGTCCGATTCACTGCGATGGCAGTTCAATTCTAGCGATCAACTGACCAAACATTAGCCTTCTTCATCAAGTTTACACGTACATCCCCTTACCGAAGAGGGATCTGAGCTCGGCGACCAAATCTCTGTCATAAGTAGCGAAAAGCAAAAGAAAGGTGGCGGTCTCACTCACCAGCTCTCGGACGTATCTCGCCTTGCATCTGCAGGCTGGCATAGTGACATCACATTTGAGCCAGTCCCATCGGACTATGCGATGTTGAAAATCCACACCTTACCCGCAACGGGCGGTGATACGCTCTGGGCTTCCGGCTACGAAATCTACGACCGTCTCTCTCCTGCCATGCGGTCGTTTTTGGAGGGCCTGACTGCGACGCATGATGCGAAGTTCTTCCTGGATGAGGCAGCGCGATTAGGAAACCCACTCCGGAAGGATGTGAGAGGAAATCCATTGAACCAAGGTGATGTCCTCACAGCCACACATCCGGTCATTCGCACGAACCGTAAGTTTGACGTTGCTCTTGCGCTGCAGTCGCTGACTTATCGTGCAGCCGTAACCGGCTGGAAATCAGTATACGTGAATAAAGGATTCACGAAACGCATCAATGGCGTCACGAAGGACGAATCCGATCTCATTTTACCGTACTTATTCAATCTTGTGACGCAGAACCACGATGCGCAGGTACGGTTCAAGTGGCGGCCGAATGATCTGGCTATCTGGGACAATCGAAGCACGTGGCATTGTGCAACGTACGATTACGAAGAGGCCCGAGCGGGCGATCGGGTCTGTAGCTTGGGCGAAGCACCGTATCTGGATTTGGGGAGTCGGGGGAGAAGGGAGGCTTTGGGTCTGAGATAGAGATCGACCGCCGGCAGGTAGAATTGAATGGTGGCTGGTACTTAGCGTTGCATTACATCACCGACTCGCATCATTCCATCGCTCGCGCGACTCCCGCGCTGCAAGCCAGACTTCTTAGGGTCGGTGCCTGTGCCCTCGCGTGCTGAGATCCAAGCGTGCAATGGCTACGTCATAGTACAAGAATTCGCAAATGGTCCACCACACGAGCACGATGTCAAATGTATAACGACTTCATAGCTTCATTTCTTCGGAGAACCGAGACATTTTGCATGATAGTTGGTTCGAGTCGAAGTCAGCTTCAGTATGAAAACATCCCGCAAAGTGAACATGAAAGTCTGCATTGTCCGTACTATATGTTGGACGAATATACCAGTTACAACAAAATCACCGCATCGACGGATATTGCAACCCACACATGAACGCTATCAGATCTAAAGCCCACCCATCAAACAACAAAGAACAAATATATCCACGAACACCGATGTACGCCACGCTATACCGAAGCCCCAAAGCGCCTTGAACATCCACAAAGTCGTGACTATAAGGATACTCATCACGTCCTCTTTTCCCTGAATTGGCCCGTCGGACCCGCACTGAAAGCGCCGCTGATAATGCGCTTGAGTTGCTTAGGTTTACTCTGTGGCACTCTCTCGCCACTCGCCGTACTCTTGCGACTGAGTCCCGTGCCAGTCCTCGTAATGCCATCCATACTCATACTGACACCGAGATCCATAGCGTTGCTACCACGTCGTGCACGTCTCGTCGCATCTTCGTTCTCTTTCTGGTGTAGAGTTTCCGATGGAAGCAAGATGGCACGATCGAGAGCATATGGAAGACCACGATGTCTTCCACGGATCTGCATGGCGATGATGATGAGTTTGCTCAATGTCTTGAACTGGCCGGAGAAGGACGTGTTGAATCCGGGGAATCCCTGACTCAGTCCGACCGTACCGTACGCAGAGACAATCTCGAAAAGGACGGAGAACAGGCTGAACGCGTATTCGTTCGTATTCTCGAGCCGCACGCCTTCGATGATGGCGATGAGGAAGAAACCCAAGAAGACGAACCACAAGTCGAATGAGAGTTGGCGACGCAGATGATGCGAGAGGTAGCTAGATTGAGTGTCGTCTTCATCGTCTGCGGCCCAGACACCCAGTGACTTCTCCTCGTAGACATTCGACTGGCGGATAGACATGGCGATGGGGAAGATCGAAATGTACATCATGATGAGGTAGCTGACTTGGACCGCAGGGTGCAGATCGGCGATGTTGACAACGGCGAAACCTGCAGTACGCGTTGAGGCAGCTTGGAAGAGACCAGCGAGGAAGCGGTGACCACCGGATAGCGAGGTCACGGTCGGGTCGTTGAGATCGAGAATGATGAAGAAGATGAGATCGACACCATTCAGAACGACAAGGATCCAGAACAGCCACCAGTTTGCCTTGCTTGGGAATAGTAGAGTAAAGCACCGACGCGGGTGATCCAACAGGAAACGAAGCTCTTCCCAGATGGCGCTGCTCTTGGGTACCATCAGGGAGTACATCCAGATGGTGAACCGAAGCATACAAGGAAACCCGGTATTTCCGATGATGATCAGGAAGGTACCCAGCACAAGGGGCCACACAGCTAGCTGGAAAGAGACCATCGAGTCTGGAGTGAGAGTGAATCCCAGATCGTTGAACAGGGAGGCTGAAGTAAAAAAGCTCCACCAAGTTGGGTCAACGCCAAAATCTCTCACGACACCACTATAGTGAGCGTCGTTGTTGATCCATGGCGCCAAACATATAATGCCGATGGTGTGCCACCCGAGGTAGAATATGATGAGGATCATGGCGAGCAGCTTCAGAGCACGATATTCGATACCACCGAGCTCTTCTCTTTGTTCTTCAGTCAAATCAACAAAATTTGAGTTGCGTCCGAGGGTGGGTGTCCAGCTGAGGTAGGGCATCGGGTCCTCCTCTTCGGTCTTGGCCCTGGTAAGGAAGCTGGTAAATGTTCTTGATCGTGACCTATTACGTAGATGCATGCTCGATGCAGGCACATTTGCATCGCCCTCATTGGTCCTGGTTCTGTCATAGACGGAATGTCCGGTAGGGCGTTGCTGCCGGTCCGGTACGTCGATGGTGATGTGATTCCTGAAGGGGCGATCGTCTCCGTTCAGAGCATGGGGAACAGAATTTGAACGCTCTCGCTTGGGATGAGACTCATGCGATAGTCTACTCGCAACTCTGTCCAATTCTTCTTCTCCTTTAACAGCCTCTGGGATGAGCCCCTGGTCGAAGTCGCGTGGACCTGGTATACGAAGCTTGTTCCTCGCTGTCGGGTTTCGCTGCGCTTCTACGAAAGCGATGCTCTTCTCTTTGTTCGACTGTGGAAGGCGGCCGCCAGGGGATTCTTCAAGCGACTCCTTGGGCTTCTTTTCCTTAGGTGTGCTGAGATTGTCGGCCCATACAATGCCAGATGGAGCAGTTTGAACGGGAGTCGTCGGCCGGAACGGTGGCATTTCGTCTTCGCTGGAACTAGATCTTCTCGGGCGTATGCCATTGCCAGTCCAGTCTAGTCCGTCACTGAAGGCGTACTCGTTCGCGATTGTTCCACCGTGTGCGTGGCCACTGGATCCACGCATGACCCGAATCTCACGAGCGCCGACCGCTTGCTCTTCTTGTCCAACATTACGTTCTGTTGCTGCATTCATCTCACTCTTCCTCCTAGAAAGTGTGCGAGTCCGACCGCTCCGGTTCCCTCTCTCGAGCACGATGTTCTGGAAACGCTTTTCGAACCAATAGAGGCGAACGACTACGACGGAGCTGTGGATGAAGATGGGCGTACATAAGCTGGCGATAAAGTAGATGACTATCTGTTTATTGTTAGCAAAAGACTTGTAGATTTTAAACGCATCAAATACCTGTTGATATAGATCCAGTGTGTTTATGTCAATTCTGCGCTGGCAGTCAGTTCACTGCCCTCATACCTCAGGGACTAACATACGTGTTCAAGCCACTCTGTGTTGCTGCGCCGCTTGCAAAGAAGAGGGCATCGACATAGGGTATGCGACCACTGCCGTATATGATGACGGATCCGATGAGCGCCCACCCAATGATATACGAATCTGTAAACCTATCAGCCACAGTTCAGTCCCTCCCCTGTGATAGTGCGCATACAGTGAAGGGTGATAAAGTTGGCGTGTGGTTTGAGGGCCTTGAGACTGGACGGGAGGCGCTGCTTCAGCCATGCGAACATGACAAGCCATGGGCCG